GCAGTGCAAAAGCACAGAATGTACAATGAGGACGATTAGAAACACACTAGGTAATTGGGCATGTTAAATAATTTTCCATAAACAACAGCTTGCTGAGTACTGCTTAAAAAAAGTTTAAAGTAACGATGCCCAAATCATCTTGTGTACAACAAAGACAGCACAACAAATCCATAAGAAGGTCACAGCACGTATGAAACAGAACTCCTGACCTTTGTACCCTACTCCTCAGAAACATTTTTTTGGATTAAGTATTAGTGGTTTAAATCATTAGTTTTCAAAAAATTTAAATCTGGTTGGTAACCAGATTAAATTCCATATGAGACGCAATACCATAACAACTTTGTCTCCCATCCCTTCCCAGAAAGGGAGACAATGAGAGAAGAGGTGGCAACAACAGCATAAAGTGCACACTATCTGGAGTGGGAGTAAGGATCAAACCATACTGAAGACCTTCAATCTACACACACTCAAAATTTTATTTCTAAGTTTTAGTCACACTTGTTTATCAATTTTATGATAATATCTATTTCAGCATTTAACAAAAATAGTCTTTGTGATCATATTACATTGTAATTACATCCTCATGCAAACCACTGATAAAAGACTGTAGGCAAAGAAATGACATGCCTGGAAGTAATGACAGTTTAGAACTAGGGTGGGACACGGTCATGAAAGCAAACATGAGAATTTTAACTCAATGCTTTGAAAATAGTCAATTATTTTAGATTAGTAAATACAAGTTTGCTATTTGCGGAATAATATACAATAGCTAAACGTTTAATAAATTTTAGAGAGATTATGGAGGGAGACCAGTGGGAATTAAATTAAAAAGTGATAAAATCATCAATAAAAATTCTCATCAGAAGCAGTAGTGGAGGTGAGAGCAAATTAGCAGTCAATGAGATAAGCAAGTGCGGTTCTGAATTTCTAAAACCTAAGTTATCCATTCAGAGGAAAACAGCTCAAATATTTGCAGCCCACCCAGTTCAAAAAAATTAGATGGAACATTACAGGAGTGTTAGGACTGGAAGAGATCAAATTACTGTAAGTAGATATAGGTGTGGGCTGAATATAGACCCACACTTAGCAAATGGAGCTCAACTTTAGGAAAGTTGAATAAATGCACATGGGCAGGGCTAATACTAAAAATAAGTATTCACTACAGGGTCAGAGATCTAAACAAATGATGAGAGAGACACCGAGACATTATAGTTCATAACTGACGCTATAAAGATACTTGTGAACTAAATAGGGTTCTAGACTGCATCCATTTAGTTAACATAGGACAGAAGAAAATTCAGCACTAATTAAGATGCTAGTGTTTTTATTTTGAATACAGTGATGTATATAATATTTAATAAATCACAGTCAGTCTGCCCAGATGACATCAAAATTACATTTAAATTCAGAAAAGTACGGTCTTTTTCTCATTAGACTTTTGGTGCAAGACTAATTCATTCTCTTCTCTCCCAACTACTGAAGACAAAGACAAAACTATACATCAAAACGTGATGCTTCAGTATTTTAATCATATACTTACATTGATGCAGCATGCATGCTTGATACCCCTAAGTCAAGACTCAGCCTTACTGAAGTCTCTTTTACAGTTGATGCAATTGTATTGTGATCATTATCCAACTGATCTAAAAAGTTCCTAGCATGTAAGCCTGGCCTTAGGGTAAAGGTGAAGTCTGCTGTTACATTACAGTCATCCTCATCCTCATCCTCCTCCTCTTCCTAAAAAACAAAAACAAAGAAAGCTGCAAGCCTGTAGTCTATGATCAATGTCCATGAATAAATACTATCAAATTGACATTAAAGTTCTAAAGCTTTAGGTCGGTCAAATAACACATTTATTTCATGACTAAGATAATAACTAAGATAGTAATGGGTCACAAGATCAATCTTTTCTATATACTGCAAGACCACTTTTTCAAGTAATCAATGAATTCCTGTAAATAATAACACATGTTAACTGGTCAAAGCAATTGAGCAGCAACTTCTTTTTGACAACTCCTTCCACAATGAAATGAATTTGCGTTCTTTTGTTCAGCTGGGAAGTGGGTAATGGTGGAGAGAAGAGGTGGGAAAGACAGAAAATAGAATATTTTTTACTCCTAAAGATTTCAGAAACCAAATTCCAATTCTTTTGATTTGGTAGTTTGCCTGAAAGAAATGAATTAGAATTGGTGGATTTTAAGACCACATCACCAACCACTAAGAAATGCCAAAACAAAAGCATTCAACTGACAGACAAGTGCCCGACACATCCAGAGGCATGAGTAAGCATCACATAGACTAACAGCTACTACTGGATTGTATTTTTTTTTTGGAAACACTTGTTAGTTGAGGTTCTGACTTCAGCGTCAAATAACAGCTGTGTTGCTCCCCTCAAAAAAAAAATTACAGATGTCCAGGCCTAGAACAGAAGAAATTTCTGGCTAAAGTGTGCATCCCAGTCATCATTGTTGTATTATAAAAAAACAGATATGTTTTTAGAAAATCCAAAGCACAATTGTGAATAATCTGTTTCTCATTTAGTACTACACCATACTGCATTTTTGGTTTGTTAATAATCTCCAATACAATCACTAGTTACACCAACTAGCAGTATTTCTAAACAAGAATTAATAGCAAAAACTGTAGTTTTATTTTTGTAACTTGGTATATAATTGTTTCTTCAAAGTATTTTAAGCTGAACTTTAATAGGTATTGTAGAACTAACAACAAAATACTCAATGGGATTTCACAAATTGCCATTCAAACAATTTGTAAGGTTGTGTAACTAAAAAGCTACAAGTAGCTTGAAATATTACAAATACAAATGAAACCTTACCTTTATTTCTTCAAAGAAGTGAGCCGTTTCACCTTCAATGATTGGCTGTAATGTCTGGCCACGACGTTTGGTTGATGGAGAGCCCTGGAAAAAATTGGCGAAAAGGACCAGTTATCTTGCCTTGTGAAGACTTGGTAGTAAGAAAAGACCAAGTGGCAGTTGTCTCCTTGTCATTTTGAGACTATTAATGTGAAAGCTGACTCCAGTTGACTTTGATAACATTTCGAAAACTTAATGATTGTGTTCATAAATTGTGTTATGAAGCTGTAATTAAAAAGGTGACAAAAAATTCAAATTGCTTTCATTCTTGCAATTCTCAAATTAATACAAAATATGTTAGATTACCAATTCCAGACAACTGATTCAGAAGGCAGTGAGAAAGTCACAATCTCTAATGCTGAATCAGTATTTCTTTCCTTGCCTCAGTGTACAAAAGATCATTCTCTGAATTTGCAAAATAATAGAATGGTATTAGAGGGAAGCCATTTAGGCGTCAGACCTGTGGTTATATCACAGAATCACTACAGTTTAGAAGCAAGCCATTCGGCCCATCGAGTCCACACCACCCTTCCAAAGACCATTCCACCCAGACCCACCCCCTACACTATCCCTGCATTTCCCACCCTAGACACTATGGGCAATTTAGCATAGTCAATCCATCTAATCTGCACATCTTTGGACTGTGGGAGAAACCCAGAGCACCAGAGGAAACCCACACAGACATGGGGAGAATGTGCAAACTCCATACAGACAATCACCCAAGGCTGGAACCCAGGTCCCTGGCGCTGTGAGGTGACAGTGGTAACCATGAGCCACCGTGCCGACTATATCTCATACTTTCACCTTAGGTCATCTGAAACTAACACAAACCAAAGCAACTTCAAACAGCATTAGTCAAAGATGGAACTAGGGCTGGGGTGCAAATATTTCTGTATGTCAAGTCTGAACTGGTCTCAAAAATGATAAAACGATTGTTAGATCATTCATTCAATGTCCATGTTTAAATAAACAAATATTATTGAACAGAAACCTTCAGTGGGACCAAATATTTATATACACAGATGCCTTGGAGCTTCAAAATGCCAAAGCACTTGTCAGTATAGATTTTCAAAATATATTTAGTGCGCCACACAAACAAAACAAGCAGGAAAATCCAACAAGAAAATTAAATAAAAGACACCCAAGGCTTCAAAATTTCAGACTGGAGTGAGCAGACACATACATCAAGTACATTTATCAACTTGCGTTCCTTTTAAAGTTGTCGTGTACCAGAATTAGTAAACCAGTCTGAAACAAAATCACTGCAGCTATGCTTTTAGTTAGGTATCAATTTCTAATGGACAATACTGTCGTGGGGTCCACCACTACACTAACAGTGGTGCATATTTTTAACTTCAGCAGATGCTCTTGTTCCCAAACAAGCTAGGGCAACAGACAAGATAGCATCATGATAATGTGATTGTCTGACTGTCGTAATATTTAATTTCAACTCAAAAGCAATCCAATTTTGGTACACTGTACTTTCAATAGTAATATCTGTTAAGTGTTGTGTTAAAGCAAATCAGTCTCTTGATCTCATATTTCAAGGTGGTAGAGGTCATAGGATTGAAAAAAATGCCAAACGAACTCTGGTGAGTTGTTGCAATGCACCTTCGAGATGGCGTACACAACTACTATGGTGTTGTGGCGGCGACCGAAGTGATGTTCAGGTGGTAAGTGGGTGCCAATCATGCAGGCTGCTTTGCCACGGATGGTGTTGAGCTTTTTGAGATCTGTTGGAGCTACACAAAAAGAGTATTCAATCACAGTTTTGCCTTGTGAATTGCAGACAGGCATTTGGAGACTGGTGGTGAGTTACTTGCCTCCAGAATTTCGTGTAATCTGCTCCTTTAGTCACCGTACTAATATGGCTAGTCCAGTTCAGTTCGTGGTCAATGGTAATTCCCCACCCCTACTCACCCTGGATATTGGTAGTGGGAGATTCAGCAATGCCATTACCACTGAATTTCAAGGCAAAAATGGTTAGATTCTCTTATTTGAGAAAGTCCTTGCCTGGCACTTGCGTAGCATGAATGTTATTGACCTGGATATTGTCCAAGTTTTGCTGCATATGGACACTAGCTATTTCAGCAAGCAGTACTGAATAATGTTCCCTGATGAATGCACACTTCCCACTTCTGACCTTGATACAGGGAGGACCATCTGTGAAGCAGCTGAAGAGAGTCAGGTTTAAAATACTTGCCTGAAGAACTCCTGCAATGATGTCCTGGAATGAGATGATTGACCTCCAATTACTATAACCATCTTGCTTTGTGCTAAGTATGATTCCAAGCAGCAGAGAATTTTCCCTAATTTGCACAACTTCCTGATATCAGATTCAGTTAAATGTTGCCTTGATGTCAAGGACACTTGACCAAAGTATGGTATCAACAAGCCCTAGCAACTTCTTCATTCCTATTAAAATGTGACTCGTCTGGTATTGCATGCTTAGATTTATGTTGATTTTGAGATGGAATGTTACAGTACATATGTTGAAAAGTGAAATCTGGCAAATTAAATCCTGCTATCAGGGTTGTTTGGAGATTCCTTCCTTTTAAAGATTAATGGTCTGTATGGGAATCATAACAGACCAGACAGCTAACAAGCTCTTGCAGTTATATTGTATCCTAGATTTGCCAAGGAGAAAGGAAGGAATGAGGGAGAACAAAGGGAACGGGCATCTGTCTTCAGAGATGTAGCATCTATAGCGCAGACTACTGAAATTTTTTTAAAGTACTGGATTCACAAACAACGGAGAAGAAAAAGCCTGATCCATTAAATCTTAAAGCCATTGGTTCAGTCGGACTTGAGATCCTGAACAATTTTACTCAACATTTGCAAGAGAAGGGGCCTGAACCACTTAAAACACTTGACTTGCAAGTGCACCCTTTAGATTTATGACAACTGAATCTTCACTTGGGAGTGTTCCAATGCCTGGATTCCCAAGAGGCAAAGAAGAAACTCACATATGAAGCCAGAAGTACAAACAAAGCAGACAAATTTCTGCATCAATACTGGCCACTGAAAAGACGTACCATTCCATTTCTTTCCCTTCATCCAAAACAAACTGGATATTTGGTCATTTGCACTTTATGCAGTTCAACTGGATAACCTCACAGTTGCGAGAAGCTTAACCATGCTTACAGCTTAAGCCACCTGTAACCTAAATATATTTGATGTCAGAAGAATCTATTACCAAGGAATTTTTCCGTCATAAAGCAGTTGTCCGTGATCAACCTTTTGGAAGCGGTCATGAGCTGGTGGCACTCACGCATTTACATCAATACTGGCAAAAACAAACTGCATTGAACAATGCTAAAAATGTGATAAAAGCTACCTTTGCTTCCTTAAAGATTGAGGTACACCTGTGAAGCTAATGAGATTTGCAAATCTGTACCATCTCAAATAACCACAAAGAAATATTTGCAATGACTGCTGACAATCAGCTTTCTTTTCTAATTAAGAGGGTGAATTAATCTTATGACAGAGATACAGTGCAAACAAAAGTAGTATGAGGATACCAAATTTTGAATCAACTCAAAAAAAAAAAAAAAACAGTAAAGTAACATCACCATTATCAGCTAGTGAGAAAGACTGAGGACACTTGAAGCAAATCCTATAACTGGCTATGCCATTGACTGGTGGACTGAAAATGAGTCAGACTTACACCTGTCTGTATGCGATACCAAGTTCTACCTCACCACCAACACATTCAATCCTTCCAGTGCATTGCCTCCAGAAGGTGCTAAATCACTTCTGCTATAAACAAACCCGGATGAGTTACAATTAAAAACTGGCCCCTACTGCAAGCCCTTGCAATCTGGATCACCCTGAAATGGTACTTTATAACATCAATGTCCTACCTGATTCCGAACCAAGCTCATCAAGAGACTGGCTACTTCCAAATCCACAATATCGGGTGACTTTCACTACCTCAATCTATCTACTCCTGAAACCTTCATTCATGCATTTGCTACCTCTAGAAAAGACCACTCCATTGTCCTCTTACGCGGTCTCACATCCTGCACTTTCCGTGAACTTCAACTCATCCAAATTTCTAGCCACCTAGGTCATAACATCCCAGTGACATATCACCCTTGGACTCAAGCATCCACATTGTCGTGAGCACTGAACACATTCATACTAAAGCTTCCATCTCTGCAATCAAATCTGTATTCAAAACATCTTCCCACCCCTCCCTGTAACCCCTCCATCTTCGCAACACCAAGCCTAGTAATCCTGCATCCGTGGCCTGCCATCCATGCACCACTGCCTTCCTCCTAACACTGGCAGCCGTGCTTCCATTGTCTACACCAAAAATCTCCAGAAGTCCTTTCTTGCCTCATTCATATCCTTTAAGGCACTTTAAAACCTACTTCTTTGAAGTGTTTAGTCACTTGTGTTAATGTCTTCTTCTCTGGCTCATATGTCAAATTTTGGTTGACTATGCAGCTATGAAGTGCCATGAGATGTTTTACTGTGTTAAAGACACTGTATAAAATGCTAAATGTTGTTAATTTTGTTACTTTGAGGGGGCTTCACACTTACAACAACTGGTGTTGCACTTGCTTTGGCCAACATCTGTTTCACAAGGCGATATCGATCATACAAAGGTTTCACTAGCTGCTTTTCTTCCCTTGTTACCTGGAAAATTAGTCAAGTTTTATTAGTTATAGTGTACTAAGCAAGATAGCAAACCAGATGTAAATACATACTCTTTACAGGATAATTAATGACAGAACCTCTTTCATAAATAATTCTATTATTTCAATGTCAACACTAAATAATTAGTGCATGGGATATTGAGTTATTGCATAAATTTTACAATTTTAAAAAATAACCAACCTGTTTTACTTTTGGCATTTTTCATTTACCTATACCTTGAGTACTATATTACCTGCTATCAGTAATTCCTGATTTTGATTTCAGAAGACATTTACAAACCATTCTACCTTCACTTTGGGAATGTGTAATGCTACCAGGATCACTGGCACTGATTCCAAGTTTTTAAATTGTAATTTGTCAAGATAAGTCAATGTTAAGATACTTCCTCTTCCACTCTCCAAAGTTAATAATTGTACATCACAACAAAATTCCTTCTCAGTCATATTTAATGGATTAACAGATTAAAAATACAAATACTTGCCACACTCGTCCAAACACCAGCAAAAACATTCATCACTTACAGATTTGCACACCACTTTGTGCAATTCCCTGCTCTAACATATTTTACTTAACTGCACCAAATTCACTCCTCCCTTGATAAAAGATCTTTAGGTATGCAAGATAATTAATGCAATGCTTACCATTTAAGTTTAGATTTCAAACATGTGAATCAGTATGCTTGATCAATAATTCCTAAAAATAGATAAAAGTAAATATACCGGATGACCATGAAGACTCTCAAAGTATAACAGGCTCCTCTGAAGGGCTATCTTCTCTGCCGTTAAATGATTTTGACGCATTTCCTGTGAATTAGATAGATTAATTCCAAATGTAAGTGAAATTACAATGCCAACATCCAACATTCCTAGTTATAACAGGTAGATTTGCAAGGACAAAATTAACTATGTTTATCTCTCGCTTCCCCCACCATGGCTATTAGACTGAGTCTACAGCAGTGTCCTACAGGACTTGGCTACCTGGTCAGTAATTTTGCTATTAAGACACCCTTGGCAATGGACTGAAAGTCCTCCACCCAGAAAACATCTTGTACCCTTGCCACTTTCAGTGCTTCTTCCAAGTGATATACAAAATGTACTGATTCTGCAGCTGAGGAGTTCAGTTGGCGACAATCAGCAGGAAGTTGTTTTGCCCATGTTTACCTTGATACAAATGAGACTTTATGAGGTCTAAAGTTAATGTTAAGCAACTTCAAAGCAATTCTCTTGCAACTGAACATCACTGTGCCATCAATACAGGCAGGTTTGTCCTGCCAATGGGGCAAGACAAATCCACGGATGGCACTGGTCATTTCTTTCTCACCAAATCAAAGTTATGTTTGCCGGACAGCTCTCCCAATTTTGGCATAAGCCTCCAAGTGTTAGTAAGGTAGACTTACATGATTGCTTTTCTGCCTAGGTCGATGACTTTGTAGCAGTTTGATATAATAGAGTGGCATGTTAGGCCTTTTCAAATATCAGACAATGCAACCATGTCTCTGCGTCTGAAATGTCACCTGGGCCAGACCAGCTAAATGATGTCAATTTCCTTCCACTTGAGAATGAGATGGGCATTTACACCAGTTATCGATAGTTTCATGACCACCATAAACAAAGAATAGCTTTTAACTCCAGATTTATTAATTGAATGTAAATTCAATCAGCTGCCTTGATTGGCTTTGGCCTTGGTCTCTGAAGTATTAGTCCCATGCTATTACCACAGTGCCACCGCTTCTAACTAAACAAGTACCTTAATATCTTCAGGCCAGTCTTCCTCAGCTCGTTTTTCTTTAAGTCTTTTTAAAATTGTTTCCAATGTTGCTTCCTTAGATGGCTTTTTCTCTTTCTCTGATGTTTCTTTTGATACATCTCTTTGTTCATGTTCCAAACACGAGCCAAAGCTCTTTGGAAGAGTATTGCTCCGTGGTCGTATTACAGGTAGAATTTCCAAATCATTTTCTGAAGTTTTGTATTTTACGTCTTATGGAAGTAGAAGTAAAAATACGTTGCTCAAATGGATGTTATAAACACTTATGCAGGCATTATTCAAATCGCATCAAGTTCCAATTTATGGTGGCTGCTATATCAAATCCACTAAGATTTTCAATTTGATTAATTAACACAACTTTAATCAAGTAATTAACTTCACAGATGAGATAGAGATTGCAATCCTAGTGGGTTATGTCAAAATTCTTTTTCTTATATCATTAGCTTAATAATTTTGTATTGTGAATGTGACCATATCAATTTGATAAATTTCAAACTTTGAATAATAAATGCAACTTTGGACAAAGTGGCTCTCATCTCATATAGAGCAAGACGAATCGTACATTAAATTTATAAAGGTGAAAACAGAGTTAGAAATAACAGCTATTTCAATGAAACTGAGGCAGAAAAGCAAGAGAAGAGGAAAAAAGAGGATTAGCAGACAAGTCAAATGTCATTAATGTCCATATACAAGTCAAATAGATGTTTAAGGTAAGGGAAAGAGAAAGAAAATGAAACTTAACAACTGAAGGCTAAGCAAGATGAAGAAACTGTGTAGGTCTTCCATATATAATCATACATGATAATGATATTAGAAGTTTTACTGAATTATCATTTCCTATGCAGTTTTATATTGAACATTTTTCCCCCATTCATGGTAGTGTTGCAATGCTTCAAGATCCCTATTCATTTCAAAAAAGGTGGAGATGGCATTCATTCAGTCCTCCTTCAGCTCCTCGCTCAGCACAACATTCCAAATGCATTCCCACATCCATTACGATGCTATTTCACCAAGTTACATGCTCTCAGTTCTCCAGCTGACAATTTAAAGTTTATGGGTCTTCAACACCTGTCTTCCCTCTCTCTAAGATTTATAGTCAGACCATGGCCTCAAGTGTCCATATCTCATTTTCTCCTTTCCACTCCCATCTGAATGTCTAAACTTAAATTCAACCATCTCCTACATTACATATCAGCTCAGATTGCCCTAACACATCCAGAGTCTATTATTAAGGAACAATCGAGTCATAGTGCATGAAAACTTTTCGGTCCAACTAGTCCACACCAACCATGTTTTCAAACTAAACTAGTCTCACTTGCCTATATGTGGCCCATACCCCTCCAAACTTTTCCTATTCATTTACCTGTCCAAATGCCTTTTAAATGTTCTAATTGTACCTACGTCTATCACTTCCACTGACAGTTCATTTCACACACAAAGCACTACGTAAAATGGTTGTCCCTCACGTCCTTTTAAAATCTTTCCCCTCTCATCTTAATATGCTCCTTAGTTTTGAACCCCTCCCCAAACCCTAGGGAAAAGACTCCAGCTAATCACCTTATCTATCTCCTTCATGATCTTATAAACCTCTTTAAAAGGCTCCCCCCCACCCAACCTCCTATGCTCCAGTGAACGGAATCCCAGCCTATCCAGTCTCTCATTTATTTCAAATCCTCCATTCTCAGCAACATCCTGCAAAATCTTTTCTGCACCCTCTCCAATTTAATAATTTCCTTTCTAGAGCAGGGCAACCAAAATTGCCCACAGTACTTCAGAAAAGGCCTCACCAGTGTCCACTACAACCTCAACATGATGTTCCAACTCCTATACTCAAACATCTGAGCAATGAAGACAAGCACGCTAAGTGCCTTCTTAACCACCCTATCTACCTGTGATGCAAATTTCAAAGAATTATGTACTTGAACCCCTAGATCTCTGTTCTACAATACCACCCAGGGCCCTACCACTATTTGTATAAGCCTGCCCTTGTTTTGTTTTACAAAAATGCATTACCTCACATTTATCCAAATTAAGCTCCATCTGCCACTCTACTGTTTATAATCTTAGAAAACCTTCTTCACTGTACCCTGTACTACCAATTTTGGTGCCATCTACAAACTTACTATGCCTCCTATATTCTCATCCACTTCAAAAAGCTTAACACAGAGTCAACAACTCTGTGGGAAGGAAATCACGTTTGATAAATCTGTTAAGAGTTCTTGGAGGATATAAGGAACAGAGTTGATAAGGGGAACTAGTAGATGTGGTGTATTTGGATTTCCTGAAGACATTCAATAAAGTATAACATAACAAGATAGCTATCAGCATGGATTGAGGATTCATTAAACAGATAAAAGACAGAGAATTGGGATTAATTGATCTTTCACAGGTTGGAAATATGCAACTAGTGGAGCACCACAAAGAACACTCCTAGGCCTTCAATTACCACCTATACCTATGATTTGGAAGAGGCGGTACAGTGTAATGTATCCAAATTTGCTAAGAATAGGTGAGAAGACATGATAATGACACAAGAAATCTGGAAGGGGACGTAGATAGGTTAAGCAAGTGGGCAAAAACATGGCAGATGGAGTTTAATGTAGCAAAAGTGCAAGATCATGCACTTTGGGAGAAAGAATCAAACGGCAGACCTTTACTTAAATAGAGACTCCAAAAAATTGCACCAGAGGGATCCTGGTATTCTTCTGCATGAAAGACAAAGTTAGATGCAGCAAGTAATTAAGAAGGCAAATGGAATTTTAGCATTTATTGCTATGGACTTGGAATTTAAAAATAGGGAAGCCTTGTAGCAACTGTGTAGGATGTGGGTGAGGCTGTACCTGGAGTATTATGTACAGTTTTGGTTCATGTATTTTAAAAAAAGAATTGAAAGTAGAACTGAGATTATTCTGTTCAGGTTATGGGTTTGAAGTAATTTGCAACAGCATTTTTCTTCTGTCAGTAAACATTTTATCCTTTAAAATTGTAATTTCCCCAATCACTAACTGAAAGTACACATTCCACATCTCAATAAATAACAGCAAAAGTTACTCCTGACAGCAGTCTACTTTAAGCACTGTTATCAGTGTTGAGGCACAAGGCATTGTAAAGATCATATCATTTTATTATCTGTATTTTTGACTGCAAACTGAAATGGGAAAAGGACTATTTCAAAATAAAACATGGAATTGCTGCAATTTAAAAAAATAAACATGTTACTGAAATCCATTGTAACTCATGTTTACTGTGATATTTTGTTCAGACAGTGAGAAAAGCTGTTTGATGATATGTTGGCACTGAGGATATGTACAAAGTGAGATTTGGTTGACCAGCAGGTTGCTGATTGATTAATGGCCAGATATGGATGACTAAGGCCATCATCCTACCAACAACTAGCTGATAGGCCGAGTGTCTGAACAAGCCTGGGGATGTGATGATATTGGCACAAACCTTTGGGCTACTGCAAGGAGCAGCTGGTGTGCCTTCTTCTCTCGTAAAGTAACTAAAGCTAAAGAAAGCCAGTTTTTATTCCCCCTCACCAGTTGCCTTTAACCAATAACTAAGAGACTTTGTAGTTAGTGTACTGATTACTTGCATGCCCTCAAAGAAGTGAAGAGAGCCTGAAGAGGAAAGATGGAGGAACAGAAATTACCAGCAAGCAAAACAATCATATCAGTAAACCCTGCAGGCTGGGCACCTTTAACAGAGGGCAGTTAAATGTCAACCACGTTGCTGTGGGCCTGGAGTCAAGAGTAAGCAAGATCAGGTAAGGATGACAGATTTCCTTCTCAAAAGGACATTAGTGAACCAGCTGGATTTGTTTTACAACAATGGACAGTGGTTAGTTTTAATTCCAGATGTTTCTAAATTCAAGTTTCATCATCTGCCAAAGGTAGGATTTGAACTTGTCTGCAGAACATTCTGGATTACTAATGCAGTGATATTACATTTTATACTTGTAATTTTAAAGGCACACAATTTCACAAAAAATGGTCTTGCCCTCAACTTCAATTTCCAGCATGCATTTTTCAACTGTATAATAGCAATATTAACTTGTAAAGTAACAAATACACACAAACATGACACATTACAAACACAAAATTGGACTGGTACCTTTTAACTGTTTGCGTAACTTGACCAGTTCATTCATCCATTTCAAAACCTTTGGATTTGCTACTTTGTCACTGTGGGATGGCTATTAATATATAAAAAATAAAACACCTTTTTATTAATAGATACTCAAAGTATTACATGAATTTTCCAAAATTACCAGTGCCGAAAGTTCAAGTTGCTAACTCATTGTTTTGCCTTTTAAATAGCATCATATTACACTGACAAACCATTTTCCTATTAAAACAAATGTGGAAAAGAGGAGTGTTACATTATCAGCAGTGTTAGCTTTCACCCAAGTTGTCCAAGGCTTGATTTTCCCAATATGGGAATAAAGAAGGAGAAAAGGGAATTCTCTCAGTAACATGGCCAACATTTCTCTCCTCAACTACCTAAAACCGATTATCCAGTCATTATCTGACTGCTGCTTGTGGATCCTTGCGTTCATGTCGCTGACTTATAACAGCAATTAAAAAGTACTTAATTACTTCTTGCAATCTGAAATCTCTTGGTTTTACAAGCTATTTTTACATCCAATTTCAAAAGACTTATTTTAAACTTTTGCCACACTGACAGCATTGCAAAACATTGCGCTTGAGGCCAATTTGATTTTAGATTTGCTTCTACATTTATAGAGCAATTTAAGTCATTTGTTGTCAAAAAAATGATGGTGATCAGTGGGTGTCCATTTGCACATACAGGAACCATTAACTAAAGCTAATAAGGATGACAAGAGTGTTTTGGAATTCAATTCTGTAAATCCTTAGCAGAAACGACAGTACATGTTGAGAGACAGCAAGAGAGGAGAGAAACAGAAACAGAATGAACATTGTAGGGATAACAAAGGTGTAGGGCTGGATGAACACAGCAGGCCAAGCAGCATCAGAGGAGCAGGAAAGCTGACGTTTCGGGTCGAGACCCTTCTTCAGAACGTTGTAGATCTGTTTCTCCACAAATGCTGCCAGACCGGTGGAGTACTGCAATATTTCCTATTTAAACTGATCTAGATGTTTCATCTTACAGCTCAGACACAAAGGGACATTCTAAATACAACCAAACAGATATTGCATGATGTACAAAAGTGAGCAATCATGACCTGTACAGGATCCAATGACCAGACACCAATAAGCCTCAAAACTGCAAAATTAATTTTGGAGAACAGGAAAAAAGTAAAAGTAAAACATTATAGATGGAAATCTCAGTTACATTCCTAGTATGTGTTAATACAGGGATGCACAGGAAGATGAGAGAAAAAAAACACCAATGCATAACTAAATGGGTAGTGTCAGGAACAGGGATTTGGGATTCCACTTTGTTACATATTGACACAAATTCTCTAAGGAAGTTATTTTCCAATCACAGGCTACAATCACACAGATAGGATGCTGTTATAACTGGCAAAAATGTTTTTAATTGGGAAGTGGCTATGTTTTTAAAACATGTCAGAAAGAAAATAGAAGATCATTACTTGTTAGAAGAAAGTCTTCGGGAAATCAAAAATGTTTAAGTTATTTTTTATTGCACTATTCATTTTTATGTTTAATGTGTCAGCCTATTTATAAAGCCAAATCAATTGAATTGATCCTCTCTACAGTTCAGGGAGTAACAAACTACATCTGTGAACTCTCAACAAAGAGTTGGAAGTAGAACTTCCCAACATGCACAATTAAGTTCTCTAGTTTGAAGCACAGAGACATTTTCACTCATTCTATGAGAGTTGCGACAGCTTCATAGCAAACTGAAGAATTAATTCTTAAAACATTTCCAATTGGCATTTCAAGTATTAGCAGCTGTTTTTCCCCATTATGAACTTTGCAGATAGAACAACAACCTCCTTGGACTTAAGTATTTAGGAAACAAAATTAATCCTACATCAGAATGACACACATTCTCCTGCTTTGAGAAATCTTGAATAGTACTTTTTCCCCCTCAAGCTGTTACAAGCTAACCAGAAGGCTTTCACATTACTTTACATGCTTTGAGTAATGCTTCCTGACATAGCAACTCTATTTAAAGAGTTAACATTCCAGAAAGAAATGTAATTGGACACTTTTGGGGGTCAGGGAAGTGTCGACATTCACGGTGATCCCTCAACAATTTTTCACTGATTTGTGCTTTCAACACCACAAAAAGATTCACATCATGTACATCTCATTACTGTGCACCAATAAATACCAGTGAAAAATTCAATGTAACCAGAGGAGAGAACACATTCGTTCAAAATTAATTATGCCATTGCACATTTACCCTTTACCACATACATAATAAATCTGAAGCAACAAATGAAATTTGTCTGCAAGTTATATCTTCAATTACAATGTTAAACAATTATGCGAACTAATAAACAATGTTTTCAAGGGATACATATTTCAAATAGCTTACCTTATACTTTCTCTCTTTTTCAAACTGTTCTTCAAATAATTTTATTTTCTTTTTGATGTTCTGAACTTTTTTAGTCAGCTGCAATTGAGCGTGCTCTTCTTTTTCATCATTGGAATCAAATGATGATCTTCGTGGTCTTGAAATACATTTGTAACAGCATGGAAACAAAACAAAAAACTTTCATTTGCAAAAGAGGAAAACGGCATTTTTTAAAAAATCTAGATAGCTTATAAAGAAGCTCGTTTTTAGAATGATAGGCATAAATATAGATTGCTGCTTAAAAGTTTTGCAGGACATTATTTACAAAACATTTCCTAATAGATCAATTTTTTTGAAAAATGAATGAAGCACTACCAATTTTAACAATCAGGATAATTGATTCCCAAGACAGTTTTCATACTATAGTACAATAAGGATATTAAAAATGGCCACAATTCACCCAGAGACGAGCTGAAATGAATTTGAAGTGCATGTGTATAGACACAAATATGTCAATGAGGACCTCAATAATTAAAAAGCCCATGAAAACATTAACATAGTTCTCATAAATCAGTTACTGAAAAAAAAGGGGATACTAACATTCCAGGAACTGTAACTCATCTGTGTTCTACAACTGGTTAGTGGTCAATAATTAAGGAAATCAGCTATTTGGTCACTACAAAATGGACTCAACTGGCTTGCTTTTCCCAGTTCTATCACAATGTTAATATCGCCCTCAATTTCAAGTCAGGAACCCAAAAGTGGCTGTCTTGGGTAACTGGACACAATCTTCATAGAGGCAGCCAATTAACCCAACCACTCCACACTGAACCAGACTCATTCCCCACTGCCCAATTCCTGTAACCCTGCATTTCACATGGCTAATCCACCTAACCTACACATCCCTGGACAGTTTAGCATGGCCAATCCAACTAACCTGTATATCTTTGGACTGTGGGAGAAAACCAGAACACCTGGTTGGTATGGCATCACCTTTTCCCTAATCGGTCTATTAGTGGGCTTAACTGGATTCCTGTCAGCCCCAGTTGGGTTTGATTCAACATCTAGCGAGATCACTAGTGTAGGAATGCATCAGCTGTCTGATCTTACAAATTTGTTCCATCTCCTGCCTCCTAATTCTCATCCACAAAGCCAGCAAACACCAGAGCAATGTCTGAACATTTGAACGGGGGGAGCAAGTGAGAAAATCTAAATGATCATTTCTGACAGTGACTCAGTGGCATGATCAAAAATGTGAAGTGAAGAATTGAATCACTCAGTTGTGATTATCCTAAAGTTGAAAGGAATCAGGTATGCTCAGTGGCTCAAAAAGCTGGAATAATTTAACATAATTTGGCACCTTGAAGGAGGCAAGAATGTGGAAAAAGCACTTTAATAGAACATTACTACTTCATACCTAAATGAGGAAAGCCCCTTCAAAGAAGAGGTTTTTGAATCAGACTGGTGTATAAAGCGTTGACTGTGACCAAAATTGAGGTAACGTCGGCACAACATAGGTGGTGGGTCCTCTTCAAGGGGGTGGCTAATCAATCTGCCTGCTTGTGGTGAAAGTTGTGCCTCTCCTAATTCATGCTCATATTCATCCTGCCATGATTTAAATGCAGGAACAGGATCTACAAAAAGCAAACAAAAAGCTTGTCAAATAATGCTTTAACAAATTCAAAATTAATGGATGCTGTTGCAAACACCCTTGACAGAAATCAAATCATTACCAAGAAAAATTCCAACACAACATTTCTTTATTTTAGTAGAGCAGTTATCACAAGCAGAATTTGTTCTTTGAATCGCAGGAAGAGTACAGTTCTTATACCTTGCCCCCAAAAAACATCCATGAGAAAAGGTTGTGGGGGATGGGGGTTGATGTCAGGTGGGAGAACAGGGCAAGGAACACACTCTTCAAACTAAGAGGCCTCTCCCAATACAGTTGGCTATTTTTAAACCCCAAAAAAGAAAATAAAGAAAATTGTCACAATCACCTTACTGGCTCTAAGATTTCTTTAAAAACCTGAAGTGGACGATCACTACCTTAAAAATTAGAATTTCAGCTATTGTAAAACTGAAATTTTAATGTTATAACTCCCATATGGTAGTGCAAACAGCACAAAAATGAGTTTATGGCAGGTCACTGTCCAAATCATCTGTCTGAAATTTCCTTTGTTCAGATATGAATTCACTGTAGTTATAGCCTTTCATTTTTTCTTTTGGGTTATTGCATTTTTTCCCAATTATCTTGTCCTCAATGGTCCCCCAACCATTTTCAACAACTCCATTCAAGGCATCACATTAAGTAGAGTTGCATATATTTTTGAGCGAGGACTCTTGGATTTTGATCAAACACAAATCTGGGTCAATTAGACTATTTCAAAGCCTTGTTGGGACTAACTGTAGTGTCTTCCAAAACCATCTCAGCACAATGCTGCAATGTATTATCCATATGATTCAACCACAATTGTTACAGCACAGGTGGTGGCCAATTGGCTTAGCTACTCAACTATGAATTATGAGTCACTGGGAAGCTTCCTTCATCCCTCCATAAATACAAAGTGATCACTTGTGGTGCAGTAACACAGGTTAGTGCCGAAAAAGCCAGTTTCATAATCCTACATAAAGTTTGACTTAGCTGGGTGGAACAGTTCTAAGCACAGAGTGGATGTTTTCTGACCACGTGGAAGTAAAGAAAATCTGCACAATTTTGCTATCCTTATGACGTGCAAATGGTCAGTTCAGAGCAATCGTTTGGCAGATGGTCAGAAAATCCTCACAGTCAGCATATGTTCAAAGAGAATGCACAAGAAATTACTACAAAATATTTGCTTTAATTTCAACCTTACAAGTATTTTAATCACCTCAAAAAACTATTAAAATTATTTTTGGGAAAGCTGAACACTGTTTACAAGCTTTAGAAAAATCTAATCCTAGTGAATATATCAAAACCGTTTGGCTATATTTAATTCAGTGATTTCCTCTATTTTTACACATGTATTAACTTTCTAGATATTTCCTGCATTAAAATAGAAACTGATTAAATTTAACTCTAGGTACATGGTAGAAATTTATATTACATGTGTGGAGTATGGGTGTTCTCTTCTCAGCTTTCCCTCTTGGTGAGTCCATTAATTAATGAAAGTGGAACAGACACCAGTATTATAAGAACACAATCCCATCAGTTGATTTTCTATTACAATCTTTTAACGTTCATATTTAAATGGAAACTCTCCCAACTGACTTCAATTCTGGCTGCCGTTAGAGATCATTTAAATGCCAGGTTTTTCTTTCAAGAGCTGGAACAGTTAAATAAAACTTGACAGCAAAATCACCAGAATCATGGACATTTGCAAGAAAGTTCAATCAGATCATGTGGCCACAGCCAGCTGACAAGTAGCCCCTAGCCCAATTTCTCTTTCCAGACCTTGGTCCGTAATCCTGCAGCCTAAAGTACTTCAAGTACATAAGTGAAGTGAAAGACAACATCCTAAAAAAGCTTTTATTAGCAATAGAAAGGCAACATTTCTGACAGAGCTAACACACAATGAATTACAGCAGCATGGTTATATAGCAATGTTAATAAAATATCCTAAGGTACTTCACAGGAATATTATTAAAATAAAATGCCTCACCAAGTCATACAAAGGTGTATCAAAGTCAACCATCAAGAACTTACTCTTTTAAGGAATGTCTTAAGGAGGGAGGTGAGGTACAGAAGCACAGGTGGTGTGGACAGGGAATTCCAAACCTTGGGCCTAGAAGACATGCGTACTCTGATAGAGCAATCAATCTGGGATGCTCAAAGGGCCAGAATCAAACCAAAAAGGATTACAGAAGCAGAGTAAGTGGGGCCGTGGAGCAAAACCTAACTGGAATGCATTACAATATTCCAGGACTGTGATATTTGAATGGAAATTCTTTCCGATTCTAGTCTAGGCTCGTCCACAGAGCATATAATCAAGATTCACACTTCAGTAAAGTTCCGGGGGATGCTGCACAGTCAGAACAGTTAACTTTTGGTTGTGATATAGTCAGGCATCTCACCAAGGTCTCACTTATCCTATTAGGTGTAAATGAAATAAATAGGAACATTTTAGAATCTATTATTAGCAACAGGGTGATAGGACACTTAAATAATAATAATAATAAATAACAATAATAATAAATAACAATAATAAGATGAAGATGAAGATGATGAAGATGAAGATGAAGACGACCGGAGTAAACAAAGGCATGAAAGAGATTGTGGTTGACAATTCCAATACAGTGTTACATTCTTAACCAGCAAGGTGGATAAGTTTGTAGAGAATAAGAAACTGACAGGGAAAGCAAACAGCAAGAAGGCCTCAAGAGCTACAAAGGAACAAAAACAGATTAATGATAGTTGGCAAGAATTTGAGATGCTGGATATATTGGTAGAAATGTGAAGTTATCAACTTCACTAGTTTAAAAAAAAAGGGAAATTAAACTTTTTTAAAAAACACAATGAAACTGGAATATGAATTCTCTCCCTCAGGGCACTGTGGGTCAACTACAGTGTGTGGACCACAGCAGTACAAGAAGGGAGCTCACCACCTTCAGGGGCAACAGGGGTCAGGAAATAAATGCTGGCCAGCCAGCAATGCTCACATCCCACTAATAAAAAAAAAAGTTGGCATTGAGGGGTTTTGGAGCCCTTGCACACAGATAAGATAATTAGAAAAGCAAACAGTATTTCAGCCTTTAATAAGAAATTTGGAATACAAACAGCAAAGACGACTTAACACAAAGATATCTAAAGCCTTGAGATTAGACCTAGACAAATATATGCAGTTTAGGGGTCCTTACACAAGGAAAAATATATCTGCCTAACAGGAATACAACAAAAAGGTTCAATAAGAATGGAACTCAAAGTGGGGGATTGTCCAACAAGAAGAATTGAGCAGACAAAGCACTCAACAACTATGTGTGTTTCAATGAGACCAGTTTAACTCTTTTGCATCTCGACAGAATATTTCCCCTGGCTGGGTAGTTCGGATCTAAAGATTAAAGTCACAAAATAAGGTTGTAAGATATTTAAACCCCGAGATGACTGGAAGTTTGCTCTTTTCAAGGTTTGCAAATCTTTTGGAATTTTCTATCCCAAGAGGGCCGTGAATGCCCAGTTGATGAGTATATTAAGACAGATATTGGCATATTTTTAGAAACTAATTGAGATAAGGGGCATGGAAATAAGGTGGGAAAGAAAAGTTGAGACAGAAGATCATCTATGATTTTATGGAATATGGTTCCTAGGGCAAATTGACCTATTCCTATTTATTATGTTCTCGAGTTGTTACAGCATCCTGCATCAAAAAGCAATGGGACTCCTTTCATTATCATGATTCTGGCCTTGCTGTGTGTTAGGTAGTTGCCGCCTTTTCCTAAAGTGTTGCAATGAACTGGTTGTACGGCATCTTGGAACATGAGGTTTGCAAAGGCACTATAAGTGCAAGTTCTTTTTCTCACCTCATTACCTAGGAATCAGAGACAAACAAGAATAATAATTCAAGGAGGAATTCAATTTCAGCAGTGTAAATACCCAGGACAAAAATCAGCAGGGAGTTTCCATTTAATGACAACATTTTAAATGTCTCAATGTTACAGGTGTGAAGGAACCAAAAACAAATTTCTGAACAAAAAATAAGTAGCAGATTGGAGAGGCCTCATGTTTGAAGTCATAAAAGGACTGCATTTTAATACTTCTTTACAATTTGCTCCCCCTGTGGCTTCAATGAATGCTTAATGTACAACATAAGAACTCAGCATTTCAAACCAAGAGCAGCAAAACGTTCACAACTAATTTTGGTAAAAATCCGATCATTCCAATTTAAATCACTGAAATAAAACATCAGTGTCAATATCTTCAATTTCAAATTTTGAAAAATTTTTGCATACACAAGTGACACTCACTTGTGACAACTTGATTAAAAACTTAATTTACCCTTGAAATTTGAACACAACTATTAACTGCATTCAGATGTCAAAGACAGAAGTACAAAATTATTTTGCCATCTAGATTAACTCTTCAACTGCTGACAGGTTTAGAGAAATGACAACTCCCTAAACTGGTCAGTTTATTCCAGGTTCAGTTCATATTACTCCAGTAACACTACTCCAATGTCAAGTGGCCATTAAGAACCAAAAATATCCAATGAACATTAAACCTTTCAATTCAGTATGTCATTATTATTATTCCTTTATTTGCTTCTTTCCAATTACCCTCTTTATCAACATTCATTTTTAAAGTTTGCTCTACTAATTTAAAGTGACTGGCTTTGTTACATGAAAGAAGGAGTGGGGCGGGGGGAAACCTGTCAGTAAGTAAAAATATTCAAGGTAGACAAGGATTTAGAAATGCTACAAAAAAGATTAGGTTTAGATTTTAAAATTGCAAATCTTTGTTATCCTCCAATTTTCACAATATTTTCCTCAGAGAAGACATTAGCAATTATGATTCTATCATGTATGATGAAATTACAAAGGAGACATTTATCTGTGTGCACCACACAAAGTCAAAATCCTGATCTTAAAACTTCAGGGAACTGATGGTCAAATCAAAATAAAACAAGATTTATTGAATTTAGTCCGAAAATTGGTGTACACAGACCAATTGGGAGATATACTAAATACATATAATGGACACTAATTCAGAATGGTAACATTAACCCTTTGAGTACTGAATATTTTGGAACTTTCAATTCAAAAACCATGATAGCAATCCTTCACATTAAAATTTGAAAATCCCAAGTTCCAAAAACAAAGTAACTAAAAAATAACACATCAATATGCTACTTTCTAGCCTTCAGCTCTTTAATATCTGTAATCCAGATTTCTTCCCTTTACTCAAAACAGACTCCTTAAAAAGATTACAGTTCCAACTTTTGCCAGTCATCCTTCAGTATTTCATCCCCAAGGGCATTCTTTTAAATAATGCCAGCTAAACTGCTTAGTTGAGACTCAATGCCGTGGAGTCAGATCTTGCCCTCAATCAACTTCACTTTGATGTTAATGGACAGTAACGAACCATATGGACCTATGTACCAGAGATATCAAGGCCAAATTTCAGCATCCTATTGCCAGTGTGACAAGCAACAGATCTGGCATATTCTCAATTTGTGTGGCTCAATCACTTATACCTTTACACATTGGAAATCAATGATTCTTTTCTGGTGATTGCTCAATGTGCAGAGCCACTGCTACAATAATTAAGAGATGCAGACACAAGTCATAAACCACAACTGTACAGAATCAAAACAACCATACCTATTCATAAAATGGTTAAAAAATGTAACCGGCCACTCCAAGCAACGTATAATTTTACAAATGTTAAAAAACTAACTCAGTGTTGATAAGGATCACAGAACTGAGATAATTCCAGAATGAATTACTCAGTTCACCAGTTTTCAAAGGGTTAAAAATTAGTTTTCACTTAGATTCCATATCCCATGATTAAAGATTTTTTTGTAAACAAAAAGCCAAATCAATAAGACTTCCTTTTCCATGTAACCTGAAGCTTTTATTTTTGATATTTCTAAATGCTGGCTGACTGAATGCAGATCGATGGCAAAGCATACTTACCATCCCCATCTCTTTGAAGATGCATTGTTTTGAAATCAATGAAGGGAAAAGTGATTGTACATGGCGCTAATAGAATGAAAAATGGCAAAAATACCAGTGTGAGCAGCAAGCAGTCACAGACACCCCATAAACACAAAACAAAACAGAAAATACAATCACAACTAATTCACTACCAGAATCAAAAACAGCATTTGCTTTTATGGTAAACATATAGCATAAAATAAAACACTGAAAAGAGCTGTAGCAGATATATGGAGATCTAGATACGAAACTAATTTAATATAATGCATTCTAGGTCATTTCAAATTTGCATATGTTTTACTTTGTTCAGAGGACATTTACTCTCACACAATGAATCACGTGAATATAAGACTCTGCATTATTACTAATTAACTTCCCTTCTTGAAAGGCACAACGCCGTCCAAAATGGTTTTGCCCACTGTCTCCCCAGGAAATGCATTTTCTGCCAAAAGCAAAGCTGTGAGACTCAGAAGGTACTTTCAAATGGTGCCAAAACTGGTGGGCAACCATTAAGTATCATTGCAGCAATGAGTAACCCTAGATCAGAACATTAGAGAGTCTCTTCAGAATAGTATCAAATATTCACATTGGGGAAATTAGCATTTTGCTACCACCACAACTTGTCACTCAGTCAAGCACTGTGCTGTATCCAAAACCATTAAAGGAATAAAATGAAGAATAAGCTGATGTTATCGAACATTGAAACAGTGAAGTTCAACTTTGACAACAACCTATAAGCATTCAGTGCCATTAACATTGGAAAACATCCTAAAACTTCACAGGAGCATCGGCAATTAAAGCCTGGCACGGAATCACATGAAGTATCAGGACAGAAACTATCCTAGTAATGCAGTTTTTATTAGCATCTTAAACAAGAAGGAGGGACAAGTAGAGTCACAGGGATTATGGGAGGTGGTGTTTGTGGTTCAAGAAAGAAGGGCTGAACAATGAGTAGTGGTTGAATTTCAGTGCTCAGGGTCTAAAGCAATTGAAAGAGGGCCACCGATGCCAGAGCGATGAAAATTAGGGATGCAAAAAGGGTCAAAATTGGAGGAGCACAGACATCTCAAAAGGAGCTCAGAAATAGGGAAGGGACAACCCATGCAGGGATGAGAAAACAAGTAGAGGGACAGAACTGGTGGAATGGGAACAGAACTCATGGCAAGAATTACCGAGCCAATGCTGGTCTTCTCAATTTTTAGTTGTGAAAATATTGCTTGCTTATTCAAGACTGGATTCCAGAAAGCACTGTGACAAATCAGAAGCTGTGGAATTTGACTAGGAAAAGCAGAATGTCATTAACACGAGAAATCCAACGCTGTGTTTTTCGACAAAGTCATTGAGGGTTAGCATATAGATGAGAAACAGGTGTTGGCCAAGAAATTTACATTGTTGGGTGATTACAGAGGCAATCTTGCAATGGAGAGAAGCCATTGAGAGTGACTCAGTAGCTCTAAATAAAATGAAAAGGAATAGAATTAGGAAAGAGCAGTAACACTCAGCTGGACAAAGGAGAATTGTCAGAGATTGCGATGCGGTCAAACAAGGCAGACAGATCAAGCAGGAGGAAATGACAGATTACAAAATATCACAGATGCATGGGAGGTAATTTGTCTGACGATAACAAGCCAAAAATCTGGCTGAAAGGGATCAAAATGAAGTCCTTACAATTATTAGTGCAGATTTAGGAAGCAACAACACATTTGAGAGATTTCGGAACATGGAGACAATGCGCTACAAAGAATAATATTTTAGCTCAACATCTATTACGGCAATACTGCAAGAGAGCAGTCATGATCATGCTGTTTGCAAAAACAAAAAACCGCTTCATTTAAGAGCTCTGACTACGTTTGTCTTAATCTTAAGAATGTGTCAAACTGAAGTTAAATTAACTGAAGAAGGTACATCAGTATGCCCAATAATGATTTAAAAACATACCAGTAAGAAATCCGAATTGTGAAGTCAAAATAAACATGACCAGAACATGTGTGGTTAGAGTAAATGGGAATCATCAGAAAATTATCACTGCAACAGAACCAAAGTTTGTTCAGTACTACAGCTTTTTCCCTTTTTGCCAAAAAATAAAAGGAACTTGGTTTTTAAAGGTAAACACCTTCTGGGTAAGAGACTAACTTTATTTTTCAAATTCCATACAAATCAGTCACATCGGGCTTCAACAACCAATAAGTGCTGGTCAGCTCACACAAGTCATAAAGCCTGGTCTTTGAGAGGCTCCATAGTAAATCACACCGAGTAGCATATACTTTTCTACTCCGTGATTTTCTACAGATCCATTTGCTGACGTGTCTCATTTCTTGTATCTGTGGAATAATTTCCGCTGAGAGTGGAGAACGTGATAAATAATTATAGAATCAAGAAAACAATTTTTTCAGAAAGAGGATAACAGCAGTAAATAGAAATCAATGGAAATGGAAATCAAGGATTTAAATTATGCAATACTGTACATATAAATCAAGTTTTAATAGTATTTTCAAAATCAAAATACTCAAAAATTAGCCTGTCAGAACAAAACAATTTTCAATTTACATTGTTTCAACTTTGAATTTCTATGATTGACTTTTCGGTCATTTGATCACATTCCAGTCACTAGTCCAGTATTCAACACGTTTCCCTGTCAGTAGTTGCAGCTATTCACCAACATTTTTCCTCACACCAGAAACCTTTAATTCGTTGCCGTGACACATCAGAAAGCTATGATTAATAGATTAGAATCTGTATACCACCCTCTATCTTATGCACCTTAGTATAGTCTCCATTGGGGTATCTCACCTGGAATAAAAAACATTAAATTGTATAAGCATTACTCAGACTTCGCTTCATTCTGCATTTAGGATCTTGATCAAAGGAATCAGAACCATATACAAATACATCCGGTTAAAAGCACCCAAAGATTGTAAGAACTGCTGATGCTGGAGTCAGAGATAACAGTGTGGAAATGGAAGAACACAGCAGGCCAGGCAGCATTAGAGGAGGAAAATTGACATTTTGGGTCAAGACCCTCTGAAATTTTTTCTGAAGAAGGGTCCCGACCCAAAATGTCAACTTTCCTGCTCGGTCTGCTGTGTTCCTCTAGCTCCACACTTATCTCTGTTAAAAGCACCACTTATTTTCAAACTAGCGAATGTAATTCACTTCACTATGCACTCCAGTATTGTTTGCTTTATTGCTAGCTACAAGCTGTAATTCTCCTTCAACATCCACTGATAAATTGTAGCACAAAATCGAGGGGTACATTACAGTTTTAATTAAAACTAAAAAGTACTAATTAATCGCATATTTGTTTCAGGCATTGGGCATCACTGACAAAGGAAGCATTTAGTACCAATTCCTACTGGTCTGGAGATGGTGGCAATGAACTGAACAGCGTGTGAACATACTCCCAAAGTGGCATTTCAGCATGTGAACAAGAAGTTTAAAAAAAGTGAATAGGTACTTGGCTTTGAGCTTTGTCCACTATTCAATAACATTGTGGCTAATCAGATTTTAACTTCAACATTTTACATTCCTGCATATCCCCAATAATCCTTCATCTCCTTGGTAATCAAGGATCTACCTACCTCTGCCTTAAAAATATTTAAAGATTCTGCACCCACTGCCTTTTGAGGAAGGGAATTCCAAAGAGTTACAACCTTCAGAGAAAAACTGTTTCCTCACCTTTATTTTAAATTGGTGACCCCTTATTCTTAAAGCAATCACTTGCAGTTTTACATTTTTCCACAAGAGGAAATAGGTTTTCAACATCCACCTGTTAAAGTCTCTTCAAGATCTTGCATGTTCAATCAAGTCAACTCTGACTCTTCTAAACTCCAGAGGATAGAGACCTAGCCTGTCTAGCCTTTCCTAATAATGGGTGCTGCAGGATTCAGCGAAAGGAATGGAGATGTATTGCCAAACCTAGATGGTTAAAATGTAAGGGGAGCAAGTAGCTGTTCCCATGCATCTGCTCCTATTGTTATTCTGTACTTCAGATTTAAGATATGGGGTGGGTATAGTGATCAGTGACTCAAATTATACACTCCAACTGTTTATTCCTTTGTAATGTTTCTGAAGAAGGGTCTAGGCCCGAAACGTCAGCCTTCCTGCTCCTCTGATGCTGCTTGGCCTGCTGTGTTCATCCAGCTCTACACCTTGTTATCTCTGTTTATTCCAGCTACTGTATTTATATTTACGTGGCATTTATATGGCTGGTAGGCAGTTAAGTATCAGGTTAATGAGTGGCAGACATGGTTTTTAAAGATTTATTCATTCACATACTAGACAGTATCACTTGTTAGGACAGCATTTATTGTAAACCATAATTGCCTTTTAGAAGATGATGGTGAGGTGCCTTCTTGAACTGCTGCAATCCAGGTAGTGTGACCACACCCACAGCACTGTTCTGAAGGGGATTCCAGTATTTTAACCTCATGGCAGTGCACTCCTTCTTATTTAACGACAGATGTAATATGCACAGAAAACCTCAAATTTATCAAATGATTTCCCTTTCATAAATCCACATTTACTCTGCTCCATTTTGCTATTCCTTTCTAAATATTCAGTAATCACAACCTTTATAATGGATTCTAACATTTCTCCCTACTACAGATGACAAACTGACAACTCTTGTTCTCCATTCTCCCTCTTCCTACCCCCTTAAACAGAGGAGTTAAATTTGTTACTTTCCAGTCAGCAGGAAACTTTCCAGGATCTATAAAATTTTAAACGATAACCACCAATGCGTCCGCTGTCTCTCAAGCCAGATCCCTTAACATTATAGCATGAAGATCATATAGCCAGTAATTTAACAACCTTCAATCCGATTAACCTTTTGCGTACACACTCATTAACAGCATTAATTTATTTAAATTGCTCAGTCTCAGGTTTTTTTGGTCATCTAGTTTATATTTCCTCTATCTTCTGTGAATAGATGCAAAGTTTCTCTATCATTTCTCTGCTCTCCACTTTTTAAACTCTGGTCTGCACCTGCAATGGGCCCATATTTGTCCTAGCTAATCTTTTCAGAGTCAGAACCATACAACGCAAAC